CATAAATAAGGCTATGGAAGTTTATGGAAGTAAAATGGGTTGCGAAAGCATGTTTATCTTAAAGGATAGTTCACCGAAAATGAAAATTTTGTCATTAATAACTCACCCTCTTGTCCTTCCAAACCCGTAAGACTTTCGTTCATCTTCGGAACACAAATGAAGATATTTTTGATGAAATCTAAGAGCTTTCTGTCCCTCCATTGACAGCTACGCAACTACCACTTTCAATCCCCAGAAAGTTAGTGAAGACATCATTAAAGTAATTAATGTGACTCCAGTGGTTTGACGTCAATTTTATGAAGCGACGCGAGTGCTTTGTTTGCGCATTATTAAATCTTCAACGCACTACCTTTCTGGGGATTGAAACTGGTAGTTGCGCAGCTGTCAATAAAGGGACAGAAAGCTCTTGGATTTCATCAAAAAGATCTTCATTTGTGCTCCGAGGATGAACGAAAGTCTTACTGGTTTGGAACGACATGGTGAGTAATTAATGACAGAATTTTCATTTTTTGGTCAACTATCCCTTTAAAATTAAGTAATAAAGTTAAGGAATAAAAGTCATGCACTGCATCTCAATTTATAGTATGTACGTTTCTGGTGATATACAATATTTCTGTGGGCCAATATTATGATATAATATCTCATAAAATTGCATTGTGATTTCACAGAACCCTTTGTCAAATACTGTTTGTTTTAGCTCAAAAGCTAAATTCATTACCTTACAAGTTCATGTTGCAAACGTTCATACATAAAAAAAAACACTGAGTCGCAGACTGAGGTTCCATTCCTTGCCGTTTCTCACTTAAAGAGTTGCAAAAGAGCCTTCACAAACCGCTTTTTTTGCGCAAAGTGTAGTGGCCAAAAAAGCATGCATGAATACACAATTTGAAAATCCATCAGAAATAGTAGGTCATGCAATCCAAGCACTTTTACAGGCACTTTTACAGTTATACTATTTTAAACACATTTGATTTCGTATGATTTGGGATGCACTAATTCTCATCTTGCACATGGTTGGACAGTATGCAACTAGTCTCTCAAAGATAGTCGTCGTGTATATATGGATTCTGGCTAGCGCAAAGGAAATCGGCTTGGCGTAAAATTAAAAAAAGATACATACAATGTTAATCATGTACGCACACATGTGCATGCTCAAATGTATGAATGAGCTCATCCGGATGGTTACACACATGCATTTCCTCTGTTAAGCAGTGGGCCCATGAATAGCTCAGGTAGAAACCAATGAACAGTAAATGATTGAGACATTAGAGCTGCCTTTCTTTCACACTCACTTGTTAGTGTCCACTGAAACAGACTGCCAGATTAGATTACTCTGAACCTGCTCTTAACTCCACTGCAAACAGCAGGTGAAAGAGAAAAGACAACTGCTGGTTAGAATGTGTTATGTTAAAGACACAGTGAAATCAAAATGGATAGTTCTAATTTTTCAATGGAATATTGGAGTATTTATTAGAAATTATTTATCCGTGCACATTATTGTTATTATTTCTTATTTGTGCCTTCTCTGATGATGTGTTAACTGGCGTGAGGGCGGGGCAACCTGTCACTCACATGAGATCATCCAATAACAAACCACTACCACCCAGTGATCCAATCAATTCCCAATGGACAAAATCAAGTCCTATCTTACATTGTTCAAGAAGCCGTTTCACTCGGATTTACGTCACAACAGGGAAGAAAAGACCATAGCGACTTCTGTTTCATGCTGACTTTAATTTATCAAATACTAATTGCTTAAAAACTCTAGTACTTCTAAAAATTAAAACAAGCTGAATTTATATATACCAGACAATGGGTTTCCTATATACAGTTCCTAAAAGGATAGTTTACCAAAAATGAAAATTCTGTCCTTATGTCAAAACACAACAGAAGGTATTTTGAAATATGTCTGCGTTTTTTTTTTTGTCCATTCAATGAATATCAATGATGCCCAGTATTGTTTTGAAACTCACTGACTTTCATAATACAGACAAAAACTTCCAAATATTTTCTTATATGTTCCACAAAAGACCAAAAAAAAAAAAAAAAATTTTTTTGGAACAACATGAGGTTTTGAGTACATAATGAAATAATGCTTATTTTTTGGGTAAACTTTCCCTTTAAGGTAGCAATTTTTAAGTAAACTTCAAAAACACAATCTATGTAACATGCTGTCTTGGTAAAGTGCGACCAAAGTATCATTTCAGGAGCTTCAACAAAACCCTTCACTGGGGCACTTAAATTCAAAGCTAAATTTTCCTCATTAAAAATGTTAATTGAGTCAAAGATTATTTTATTGTCCAATCTGCCCATCTCTAAAAATTTTGAGCAAATATATAGTAGGGCCTATATATATGTTTTAGTCATTTATATTATGATTGCTTGTGATCATCTTAGTATTAGCTGGATGTAATAAAATCTGACACATTTGACAGATCAATGATTTACTAAAATTCTAAATATGTCGCCAAAGTTAAATATTATCACCTCCCACAGTATTATAAACGATGAATATGAAGCATTGCAGACATTTCAGCTTTGTTCAAGTTATGGTTTGACACTCTTGATTTTTCCTAAAAACAACTATTTGATATGTCCCACAAGGGGTTTTTGGTACTTCGAGTGATGAGAGAGAGAGAGAGACATGTATTGTTGGAGTGAAGCACAGGCACTTAAGTTGTTTGATGCGCTGTAAGTGTGTAAGTGAAGCACCGAGGGCTAAAGCTGTTTTTTGATGTGTATAAATTGCACTTCTTTGATGTTGCTGCTGGTTTTTGAATCCCGTTTGATAAGCTTGTCAGTCGCCTCATCTGCAGTAATTACTGTCAGTTCTCCACTTCTCGTATCCCAGTAGATGAATATAGACTACGCAGACTCTACCACGGAGATGTCGCATGTGAAAAGAACGTCATTACATTTATCAATGAATCAATTAATCCTCCGTTTCATTTATGAAACACATTTGGTAATTCCCTCAGAATCAAAGTAGGTACTTGGCTTTCGAACAAGCTTTAATTTGACTGCTGAATGTGAAATCAAAAAGCAAACTGCTGTGAAAGAAACAGCCTAGACCAGCTAAATTGGCATTGGTCAGAACAAAGGTTTAGATAAGGATTGTTGCAACCTTAATTTGCTGAATTCAGGTTGGATTGTTGTAGTCACCCATTTCCTGTATTGTGGGATAAATTGGAACAATGTTGGCATACGACTTAAACGATGCCTAAGTGCATTCAAAACAGTTAGTCTACTCAACCTGATTGGATGCAGCTTAGATTCGAGCCAAAGTCCTCTGATGGGCCTGACTCTGATACATTAAACATATCCCTAATACACATTTTAGCTCAATTATATCCAGTTGCAATAATGCTAAATGCTACATATTCATTTCCATAAAAGACCACATATCTCTTTCAGAACAAATTGAGTACACTAATGGTGTTTAAAATGCAAATGTCTCAAATTTACTGCCATTTGAGGAATTGCAATTATCATTTGGTATCTTGATGCATAACGTATACCCAAGTTGTCAGCGATGACTTATTGGCCTTAAAACATGCATCTTTGTTAATTCATTGCTTTTAACAGTGAAAAGAGTCAACTGAACTAAGAAATTATAACGTAAAAATAACGTATGCATGATCTGAGGACATCAACACAAACTTAATTTTTAATGTTTTTCAACATAATCGTTCAAAAGTTTGGGGTCGGTAATATTCTCCTAATCCAAATAAACCTCTTATGCTCTCCAAGGCTGCATTTATTTTATCAAAAATACAGTAAAAACCATGATATTGTTAAATATTATTAATATAAAATAGCCTATCTGTTTTCTATTGTAATATATTTTGAAAATTTGATTTATTCCTTTTCAGCAGCCATTACTCAAAAAAAAAAAAGTTTAATTTTGACTGTTACTTTTGATTAATTTAATACATCCTTGCTAAGTAAAAGTATTATTATTTTGAAATAGCAGTGTAATTATATATTAGTGTAATTATAATTATTTTAGTCTGTGGATTATGACAACTATTATTATATTACATTATTAAATAACTATATATAACACAGGCTTGTGTAATACACTAATCATCCTGCAGTTTGAAGTATACTATCAATCAAACAGTATCTTTATATATAATTTAATAAATATATAATTGTCATTTTGCTTTTTAAATCTGAAATGGCAATGCATGTGATTAAATGTGTGTGTGTGTGTGTGCGTCTTTGTGTAGCTCACAGGTCTTCTACTGATAGACAGTGACAGCTATTGATTTCAGAGCACAGAATGTGAACTCATTGAGATCGCAATCATAAAACATTTAAGATCAGATATGACAATACTGCAGATATTACAGCGGCTTCCAGCTTAAAGTGTGGACTGATGTCGTAACATACATTGAAATCCACATGCTTTTATTAATCTATTCTAAAGAACCTCTATGGTAGGGTTTTCAAACTGGGATCCTGGGACCCCCAGGGGGTGTTTGGGGTCTGTGGAAAAGTCTAGAGAAAAACTGTAAAAAAAAAAAAAAAAAATTACAAATAATAATAATAATGTGATTAAAATAAAAAGTTAGTTATTAATATATTAAATAGATTAATTTTAATAATAAAATAAAATAAACAAATAAATGATACATGTAACAGTACATTAAAGTACATTACATACTATAGTGAGTAAAAAAAAAAATACTGTAACTTAATATAAAGTTTATATTGATAATATAATTTTTTCAGTGTATAAATTGGGTGTTTATGGCATCCCTCACACGAGGATGATCATATTTGTGACTCCATTTCATCTAAAAGATTGAAAATCCCTGCTCTATGGCATTAAATTTATATTCATTAATGTATAAACATAAATATAACTTTTACTTTTACTCTATAGTCTACTGACATGAACTTGCTATTGCTCTTTAAAAAAAATCATAATTGTCTAAAGTATGTATTCATTTATGCATAAGCAGCACACACACTCATAAACACAACTGGGACTCTTCAGATCAAATGAGCTCTAGTGAACCATCATACATGCCCCTGCCAATCAATCATCATGAGTGACAGCTGTGAGCTCTCTCTGTTCCCGCGTTATCCACCATCCCCGGGTTTAAAGTCTAGTGTCAGACTGAATATGAGTCACTGTAATGGGAAGAGAACAGAAAGAGATAGTGAATCTAACAGCATCTCCCACCTATCTCCCTTCTAATCTGACTTTACTTTCCGCTGACCTTGACAAGGCTCTCTCTCTGTAAAGTGGAATGAGATTGCTCGGGCCCCTGGTATCCAGGCCAATCAGCAGGGGGCTAAACATCCACGCTCCCTCGGAAAAATTCCTGTTTAGCTTCCGATTACAGCGATTCTTGCGTTTTATTCGTGAAGACTCTGTGCTCTGGCAAGCCGAAACTGCGGGCAGGATAACTACCCATTATCCTGCAGTCCCGCTCCACCGGCTCGGCCAATAAAACCCCAATCTCCCCCTAAACAGTGGATGTGTTAGCGTGAATGTGCGTCGCTCCTGCTATAGGCTTTGCATCACAATCCTCAGTTTGTCTGCGAATGTCTTTGGGTATAAAAACGTAATTGATGTGAGAGAATTGTGTGTGTAATCTAAATGATTGTGGATGGGTGATATAACAGCAATATGATCGCCGCCTTTTCCAGACTGCTGAGCCAAATAATACTGTCACAGTGTCATGTTAGCCCTGGGTAAAATGGGACTCATAAGAGACAGCAATTTCTTTCCACTCTCCTCCAATGTCACTATAAAATCAATTAACCATCACGACTGACCTTTCTCTCTCTATAAGCTTTTAGATCATCACTCGCGCAATGTACAACCGACATTTATATAAAAAAGAGAGGGTGAGTAAATAAAGAGATAAAAAAGGGATGGTAAGACATACGGTGGGGAATTCAGTGAACAGTTGCATGCTGTATTTCAGCGCCGAAACCGTTCTTATTCACTAACCACCCAGTCCAGTTTAACCAGGCGCCAAATGTGCAAATATACGCCCTCCTTTTTATGCAAATTGGGGTCATTATAGATTGACGTTATGGTTTTACAGCCTGCTTTCCATGGAACGGAAGCGCACAGAACTGAATTGCGCTGTGCAAATTACAATTTTGAGGCTATATTTGCATCATTCCCTGATTTGTATAATCTTTTAGCAACTCTGTTGCAATTACTCTCTGCAATTGATTGATCGCCACTTCTGTGATTTATGATTCTTAACCATGAATAACTTATATTATTCAATCGCCATTGTCAATACACGAGATCTAAATGCCCAAATCATTGTGTAAGAATAAAGAGCAACATAAACATCAAACCCCTGTTTCAAAAGATTCAGGAAGAAACCCTCAATTCGAAAATAACAATTACATAAAGGTGCTATATATCATATGTAGAATTCAGAAACCCTTGTTATTAGCGACATCGGAGCAGTTTAAGCTTGGGGAGGCAAATCTTTGTAATACTAATTTAAAACTCTTCACATTCTGATAGCAATCAACAATAGAAGTAGTCTAAATATATAAACATGTACATATATCGGTAACGCTTCCTTTTACAGTCCTGTTACCCATGTACTTACTATGTACTTATTATAGTAATTATAATTACTGGGTAATAACTATGTACTAACCCTGAACCTACCCCTGAACCTACCCCTAACCCATGTACTTACCTTATATTAGCCACTACTTTCTAGGTAAGTACACTGTAAGTACACGTAAGTACTGTACTGTAAAAGGAAGCGTTACCCATATATCTCCTGTGGAAGTCTCACGCATGTCTTAACTGTAATTACGAGATGGCGACCCGTGACGTTCTAAATCAGACTCTGATTTTTGAGTTCTGTCAACACTATCAACGCCGAAATGAATCTGCAGCAGTCAGGTGGTACAAGTAAAAGCTCTGTAATTTGTTTAGTCATTACTATTGTAGTGTTATGTGCTTTGAGACATGAGGTAATTAAACGCCTTATCTCGTCTCGTGACGCTTCATGTGTTTTGGAGGCATGGCTTTGGAAACGCTCTGAAGAGAGGGTGGGATCTTATGCTTTCAAAGCTAGCTCGCTATTGCTAGCCTCCAAAATTGCCTACCCTACCTTTAAGTGAACTGCAGCCAGCAACTTATTGCTCGTGCTCACACAACATGCAAGAGACTGAACATGATTTAATGGCCTGATATACTCAGAGCGAAGTTGTTTTACATTTTTCGCATACAATTCAAAAGAAGTTGGAAATACCTTTGCAGAGATACTGTTAAAGAACATCCAGATAACATCCACGCTTCTGAGAATGACGGTTAGATGAATATGTAAATATGTGCTGAGCGCTTTCCTCTTTATAATAAAGTAAGCCTAAAAACAACAAAAATGACAGCGGTGAGAAAGCAGCAGAAAGCATAGTGATGTGTATATATGTTTGCACAAGGCCTGCGATTCATGTTGACAGATGAGGTAAATAAAATAAAATTATGAATAGTTTGATTATAAAATATATTTGAGACTAGACTACATAGCCTAGATATGGCTACGTGATACTATAGTTTGACTTTTAATCCATTTTCTTTGCATGACACATTGACATTACAGTACAGAATAGCTCTTTTGGCATTATCCTGAACGTACTGAAGCATTCGTTTCATAGTACGAAAGAGAGGCTCTCGGGAAAGGCGCGTAAATGTTACCTAATCCTTTTGATTTTCCAGGCAAAATTCATACGAAAATTCTTACATATAGCCCATTTAAGGCAGGATGGTACAGAAGGCCTAATTTCATAACAAATAAAGTGATTTGGCAGGGGGAAAAATGCTCAAACAAAAATTCATTGTACAGATGAGGCAAAGAAACCCCTTCAGATATACAGTAACCCCATGCTGAACCGAGTGCCTCCTGTGTACGTAGTTGCTGAATGGTTTTGCGCTGTTTTCTTTGTCACACATAATTATTGAGGATAACGCAAAAGAAATTAATGCTCTCTAATGATAACTTCCCATCTGTCGCATCACAGTATGTTAGGAATAGGTGAGAGGTGTGACCCCATGTTGTGAACCCACTGCCAACAGAATTATTTGTTGACTTTATAACGTAATTCAGTACATTCTCTTTAATAGTGTCTGATTTCTGAATCCATTATTTCTGGGGAAAAAAACTGTCCCACAAAAAAATTGAATAGAAGAAATAAATGAAGTATCAAGCCAATTATGGCAGATTTTGAATTTGCATTTGAAAATTTTGATTTTAGCGACGACTAAAGTAATGGAAATCTATGAGGCAACTACACGGTTCAAATGATATTTTATTAAGTTTTATAAAGCTGTACCATTTAAGACATTAGAAGTAATTTATTTATAAGGACCTTTATAAACATTATACTAAAACTGCCCAACAACAAATACAATTCCAAAATCAATTGCAATCTGATATACTGATATAATCGTGTGGATTCACACACTCCTGAACATTAAATCACTGTGACAGACACCATCTGAAAGACATATGTTTGAGTCCACGCATACACAGCAGTTTCACATGTTGGACGTGGGACACAGAGATTTGTATGGTCACAAAGAAAACAGGTGAGAGTCTCCAAAAGTGATAATTCCCATGTACCTCCTGACCTGCAGAAACGATCACCCTGCTGAGTGTGTGTGTGTTTGGTGTGGAATATGAGAAATTCATCTCAAAATACTGACAATTCACTCTACTTTGACTAAATCTCATATGCCAAACTGACATATAGTCTTTTCAGTAATGTAATTTATTAAAGATCTCATTCTCAATATTTATTTCTGCTTGTGTGTAGTACTCCAATATAATATCTCTCTTAAGTCGTGAATTTTGGACATGTACCATGGAATACCAGCTTTTTTTGTACATATGGTAATACCATGTATTTTTGTTGTACCTAAATATGGTAGCCATTCACAGTACAAAAGCACCATGGTATTAGCATCTCTGACCATAGTACTGCCAGTGATGTTAATCTATTTATACATCCACTTATCTTCCCACTGATCCATCCATTCATCCATCTTTCTGTTCAATTGATGAGCCTTTGAACATTTTCAATATAATCAAAGCCAAGATATTGAAATTCTTAGAAATGCACTTCATTCTTGAAGTGCTGCATGTATTCCTCAAAATTAATGAACTCGGCTTCAGTAAATTGAGTGTTCGGTTTGAAATTGAGTTTAACCAAAGGTTATTATGGGAGAAGAAAAGACAAAATGAACAGGTCTGGACATGTTCTACAGGTTAAAATGCATGACATCATTCTTCCATTAACATCTTCATATTGGTACAACATCTTTGAATGAGGAGCACACATCCCACATTTTACAACATAATTGTCTCTTTACAAAGCTACAAAGAGAATAAATTAGTTCTTTTATCAGAAAAATGTGTTTTGTAGCAACAGGTCACATTATAGAGATATTAGGAAAAGAGATAAAAAGAAGTGTCACAGACAAGACACGAATTTTTTACCTGTGAACAGCATAAACAAAATACATAATATCACCTTCTTTTTATAGGTTAAGAAAACTAACTATAGAACTATAAACAGACACAGATCAAAGGTGATCAAAACTAATTTTACTATAACCGCACAGTGAAAGATTGTGTGTGTGTGTGTGTGTGTGTGTGTATATATATATATATATATATATTAATTCAATGGGCCTATATTATTATTTATTATATATTATATATCATACAATGAAATACTACATACATTATATACTAGACTGGTACACAAAAAGATACACTTTTTTAAAGTTAATCCTGCATAATATACTGTACACAGTCACTGTTAATAATTCAATGCACACTCACCCAATCAGACTTTCCCACGCTCTACACTGGGGGAAGATGGGGCTTTCTGTGACCAATTGATCTTCGGCCCTGTCCAACAAATCTAGCACTGATCACCTGAAAACAGGAAACAGGTGTTATCAAGGGTTATGTCTCCGCTCCTGTTCACACCCTCCTGGTGAGGATCACTCACACACACACACACACACACAGGCTTCATGCCGACATTTACGACAGGCCCTGTAGTTTGAGGTAAACACATGGTGACAAAAGTAAACACATGCTCTCTCCATTAGTCACATGGACAACAACAAAACAACATTAACCAGAGCAGAATAGCATGGAAAACCACCATTGCCATTGCCTTCAGAATCACAATTTAAACAGAGCACTATAATGAGGATTTCGACACTAAATGTATTTATTTTTTAAGTTTGATGTTGATTCAATCACACACACTTAAAAATAAAGGTTCCAAAAAGGGGGGTTCACAGTAATGGCATAGAAGAACCAGTTTTGGTTCCCCAAACCTTTCAGTGAACAGTTCTTTGATCCAAATAACTCTTTTCCAATATAAAAAAGCTTTTGTACATTTGAAAGGTCCCATGGATGTCAAAGGCTCTTTATGGAACCATATAACCTTTTATTTTTTAAAGTGCAGGTATATGCCTTGACTCATCCAGATATTTTGATACTCCAGCATGTAAATAGGGTCATCACTCCTAAAACTCTGCATAACAATATCTTTTATAAATGCTATTAATATCCGTTTATTAAATACTTCAAACAAACACTTTGTGCGGTTTGCCCTTACGAAATCTGAATTTGTATGTACTGAAAAAAATATTAAGTGCATTTAAAACCTGTGTCCATCAAATGCATGTGAATTGCAGAATAATATAAATAATCATGCTTACAAATAATAAATAATTCATATACAGCAGAATTTCTGATCTCATATCTGCTACAAGTGGGACTGTGGATCTACAAACATAGATCTATTTTGTGCCATGCATGCTGTTATCTTTATGGGACCCTGTCATAGAACACATAAAATAGCAGATGCCGCCTAAAAAGAATACATTCAGAGACACCAGTGGATAAAGTAACAACAGTAGGCTAATGTCATCTAGTAAGCATTCAGCCCAAGAGGAGAGAGCATGGCAAACCAATTACGCTACCCCTGAAGAAAATGTGACAGACAATGCATTGAGGCATGACATAATCAATTATTGTTAGCATAGAAATAGCAGATATAAAAAAGATCATGAGGAAAGATATTTGTCATGCATGACACATTTGCAGTGATTCTTTAGTCACGGTATGCAACTTACATAAGCAGTTCATGACAGCAGTGAACGGGAATGTCCATATTACAATTTGACAGATGAAACAATCTGAAATGAAATTGGTAATTTTCAAGAGATATATTACGTTGATTATGCATTGTTGAAATATCAGTGATAACATTAATATGGACCACAATACAACTGAAAATCCCATATTGAAAAGCTGATCTTGTAGTTTCAGCAATTTTGTTAAATCTAATTCAGATTACAGATGCCCAGTTCTATAGCTATCTGTTTGACTAGTTTTGATGTTATTGGAGTTCTATAAAGTATTTCCAAATGCAGCAATTCCAGCACATTTCTGTATTTGGTTGCATTGGGAGTATTTGCAGCACATATGTTGTTAAACTGATGAAGATGATTTCTTAGTTTGCTGGTGTTTTTTATTCTACTGGCTTGTGTTTTCTTCATTTGTGCGTGTATATATCGTATATATTGTATGTATGTATATATATATATATATATAGAGAGAGAGAGAGAGAAAGAGAGAAAGTATGATATTAAGAATGACATTTGTAATGTGTTCTGTACAGTTCATTTCCCTGAAAATCCTCGAAGTCTCTATTCACATTCAACAAGTTATTATCAATCATGATTGATGTTTCTATTGATCAATCAGAAGCTTAACTCTCTGAATGAGGTCCAGTGGGTTTGGGGTGTGTGAGGTCTGGGGGGTGTTCAGGCTTGGCTGGTAAAACACAGTAGCAGGTGAGCTGGGACGATGTGGCAAGGTGGCCCCTGGGCTGAGTGATATCCCAGAGTGCACTCTAAATCTCTGCCTGCCGTTTTACTGCTGCACCGGGGCGGCTCGCCGCTAAATCACCGGCTATGAAGCGATGACGGGAAGAATGACTGTTTTCATAACCTCGCTCGGCTGTCAGTGATATGAACACACACACCACATACACATTCCCCCTCTCTTTTCCTGGTGTAAACACACTTTTCCTTTCACGACTTTCATAAAAACAGATGAAGACAAGTAGAAAAGAATAAAAGCTTCAAAGAAAAGCTGCTTAATATCGCAAAGTTTAAGGATTTCTTTTTTATTTTTCTCCACAAATGTCTGATACATCATTTCTGTGATTAATATGGTATTATGACAAGATACCATAGTAATATAATTGTTTTTTTTTTGGATATATACCATGGTCATACTTTGGTTTTTAAGACATATTCCATGCTAATACACCATGGTATTTTTTTGAAGTACCTTGGAATGCTACACGAAACAGCACATGAATATGGTAATCTTTCAGCAACATGGTAGAACTATCAAAGTACAATGGTATTACCATCTGCATCTGATACCATGACTGTACCATGGTAATCCTAAAGTACTTTTTTTGTAAGGCTATCTCTGTTCTCACACTTTAAATCTGTCAGGTGGTGCAGGAGGAGGTCTGCTGGAGAGACCGAAGATATATTTTGTACACCACCGAAGGGTACATGATACCACTGTCTTTTTGTGGGAACAGGAAAAAGTTGTACCTACCTAAATTTCCTTAGAGACCCGTACTGTGCCGTCTCTGCAAACAGCTGGTGGCTGAAAATGATTCAACAGACCTGCAGATGAATTAATCAGACTTAGTAACTCTGACCAAAAGTCAGCATGAAACGGAAACTGTGACTGAGATTACGAAACCACTATCGAACAAGAAAAAACATAGGGTGGGACTTGACTTTATCCATCGGTTGTTGATTGGGTTGTGAAAAGTAAGCATTGCATACTACAATGAAGGCAGAATGTGGGTAACTTAGAGTATTTTCTCCTTAAAACTGCAGTGAAAAAAAGTCAAAAACTCGGTTTGAAACCGCTGGTGTTTCTTACATCACAAACTAACTTGTAACCAATTATGTCAACGTGCCGGCGGGCTTTAGCATATCATTAACTGATGCAAAGCAGGGGAGTCTCAAGAGAAGCCAGGTTATCCCGGTATATTTTTCTGTTGATATGAAAAATCGGGTACATTTAGCAATACAGAGGGTGGGTGAATTATGTTTATGATGTACATTACGATTTTATGTTATATGTTTTTCTCCACTGACAGTCTAAGTTGTTCAAAACGTTTCTAAGGATTTAGATTTTTAGAAAGCAGCTTTCTGACTCTGAGATGGAGAGTGAGAACATGGTTTGTGTAACATAAGCAACACATTATTAGCCTTTTGATAACGTAGTCAAGCAATAGGATAATCATTAATTGCTGTTATGTTACCGACGTTGTAGAGAGCGATACGTAAAATGCATTCCCATTCTGATACATCGTCTTGTACAGCTGTGTGAGTGGAGGCGGGGCTAATTTGCATATTCATGGTTTCACGTATATTAAATGAAGCAAGGGTGTAGAGTTACATTAAAGCTATTTTAAGGCATAAATAGAAAATATCACGGGGAAAAAAATGTTTAAATATGTAATTTTGGTGATCAAAAATGAGTTTTAAGGGACAAAATTATTGACTACAGGGGGACTTTAACTGCAGTGCGGCCTTGCATTTGTCACAGAGGTGAAGTGAGCATATGACAGGAAGAGCAAGTTACAAAAATTTGATAAAAGATTATGAATAAAAAAGGAAAAGAATAAAAGTTTACTTTGATGGTCCACTTTAGACATTCTACTAACTATAAGTAAGAGCAACTACATGTAAACTAAATCTCATTAGAGTATAAGTAGACCGTAGTAGACTGTTAGGTTAGGTGTTATGGTTAGGGTTAGTAGAATAAGTTGACAGTTGCAAAGTTACTTGCAAAGTTAATTTCTGTTGGGGGAGCATCAAAATAAAGTGTTACCAAAAGAAAAAGAGACTGTATTTTAAGGTGTCCTTGTTACAGTGTAATAACACATAAGTATTGAGTAATTTTAATTTACAACATGTACTTACTATACGGTTAGATACATGGAATTATGCGTAAATTACTGTTATTACTGTAGATTTATGTAACGTGTAACAAGGACACTGTAATATAAAGTCTTACACACACAAAAAATAATAATTATAAAACAATGTACTGATTTCACAATAAGACCAGTAACATGCATTAAAGAAATAAAAAGGGTTAAATTTGATTTCTCGACAACTTTAATTAATCCATTTTACTGTTGCGCTAAGTAATTGTTCAACATTAAAAGTTACCAAAAGAAATAAATAAAATATGATGATAAATAATGAACAAAATAGGTTTGAAATAAAGTATGCTCAAATGAGATAAGCAGATTCAGTCATTTCATTGGCCTTGATTTAAGAATGGTCTACCACATGCTGAGATCACATGACCAGCTTAATACTCAACACCCCAATTATTAGACTTTTTTTTTTGTTGCAGAATAACTTAACTGCCGACAAATATGCCTGCAAAAAGTACATTGGGATTGGTAAATAAAAACTTTTTTTCTTTGTGATACTGTGATACGTATATATCAATAGTTCAGGAAAATAGGCAGAGAAACATAACATAAATAACAGAAACATAAATGGAAAACTTAAAATCAGGGTTTACAGGTCACTGTGATTTGTGTATTATCAGTGTATTCTGACGAAATCAAATTTCGTGCAAGCAATGTACAAATAGCAAAAATGCTGAAAATATATTATGTAGTGTATCCTTAAACCTTTAAATAACAATTAGTTGTTAATCAGCACAACGGATATTTGAATATTTACTGTGTACAATTTAGCCCTCCCTCTGTCCCATGGTCTCTTTCTGGTCACCTGGAAATGCTCTCCTGATCCACTGTTTGCCGGAGCAGCAGGAATGACCATTATCCACCACGGATCACAAAGAAAGGCCTGCAAACTCCGGATACCGCGTGAGAGTGAGAAAAAAGAAAAAAGGGGTAGAGGAGAGAAAAGGGAGAGGGTCACACTTTTCTGACATGCATTCATCCGATGGGTCGTTTCATCCCTGAAAAACAAAAACATCACAGAAGAAAAGCAAAACTGGAAACCTGCAGGAAGGAAAAAAGAAACCCAACCAGGGGGGATAGAGCAGTAATTTAACCTCACACACACACACACACACACACACACACACACACACACACACACACACACGCACACACACACACACACACACACACACACACACACACACACACACACACACCGGTACTGTACATCTATCTTTGTGAGGACATTCATTGACACAATGCAATCTCTAGTTTCTTTTCCTAAACTCACACATCTCAACTAAGTGCCTAACCAAAACCCCCAAACCTAATTATAACCTTAACCCTAAAACCAAGTCTTGACCAAACTCCAAAATGTTCTGACTTTACTCTATGTCTTCACTCTGCTGGTCTAAAACTCAAACTGGTCCTCACAAAGATAGTTGTACAAGTGTACACACTCACACACACACACACACACGCACACACACACACTTGCGCACGCACACACGATAAATATGGCATGAAAGCCATCATAAACTCAAGCTCTCTCTCCCCCTCTCGCTCTGAACTGTGTGATAAATGTTTAATTAGGAGACTAATTGTGTGTATAATTAACAGTCATCAATCTCATAACATCGGAGAGTAATCATCAGCTAATGCTATCAGATGTGTACTCACAGTCTCACACACACACATAAGATTCCCTACACATGCACTCGCACCAAAATATGCCATACATATTTAATGTTATTTAAATATCCATTAACACTCTATTGCATTTTATAAGGAATAAAACATGTATAAATTGTCTATTTACATTTTTGAAGAAAATATGAGTGGTGTTTGGAGCTTGCTAGGATGATTTGAGTGGTTACTTACTGACTTTTTTATTTTTTTTATTCTCCACCAGGCAATAAAAATTGCAATTCTAATCAAAGCCTAAGCATTGCAATCACCACTAGTGAATTAATATTACAGTTTTTCTCAAATGCTAAAACACAAAAGCCAATCCTCTAAATCAAATGACCAGTTGTCTAAACACATTTACTAAATCTAGCCATCATTTTCCAATATCATAAACACATTTCACATGAAGACACAATTCACAAAACACAATCCTCCGTTCTCATAAATCTTAACACATTTTTCCTTGCTAAAACACAAGTTGCAAAAGAACTCTGCTCATATTCTCAAATGAAAGCTCATGTGATGCAAAATGCTTGCCACAGTCAGCAATATTTGAACACAATGAACACACCTGGCGTCATTCATTACACACAACGACTCAAAATTGAAGACACTTGTTGCTAATGCTGTGACCACATGTATAAAAGCAAGTTCAGAGTGCACAGTTTGCTGAAGATTACAAACAAACACAATGGATGAAGGCAGAGTCAGGGGAACAGGAATTCGAGTCAGAGGAGGGAGAAGAGCTGGCCATGGAAGAAGAGGAGCAGGCCAACGAGGAAGAGGAGAAGGTCCAGGAGGGAGAGCAAGACAACCTCGCACCATCATTACGGACGAGATGCGAGCAACAGTCATTGACCATGTCATTGTCCATGGCATGACAATGGCTGAAGCAGGACTAAGAGTCCGTCCAAACCTGAGTAGGTTCACCGTGGCCACCATTATCAGGGCATTCAGACAACACAACAGGTATTGTCAACACATGTTTCTTTCTTTAGAGTTGAAAGAATGCCACATAGAGGTGGGAGGGTTGCCATATTTACAGTGGCACAAGAAACCCTCATTGTGGATATGGTTCGTGAGAACAACCTCATCAGACTCAGGGAGATCAGAGACAAAGTCATTGCCGATAATGTCAACTTTGAGAGCATTGATGATGTCAGCTTGGCCACAATAGACCGAGTTCTCCGGCGCCAAAAGATGCGGATGAAACAGGTCTATAGGGTTCCCTTTGAGCGCAACTCTGCGCGACACAAAGACCTACGTTACAAGTATGTGCAAGTAAGTATACATCCATGTTCACAGTACAGTTAGTGGACATACTGTGTTGCTCAGTGGCCTACAGTACTTCTGGACAATACTGTGCTACCTGATTGACTGTTGTTCTGAACACCTGTGCACTTTCACATTTTCACAGAGGATATTACAGTTGGACGCGATGGCTAGACCTCATGAGTACCTCTTCCTGGATTAGGCTGGCTTCAACCTGCAGAAACGAAGGCAAAGAGGCCGTAACATCATTGGCCAAAGAGCCATCACTGAGGTTCCTGGCCAACGGGGGGGGGTAATATTACTCTTTGTGCGGCCATGGGTTTGGAGGGGCTTGTCCACCGGCATGCTGTCCTTGGGTCTTACAACACCCAACGTCTCCTCACCTTCCTAGAGGAGCATTTATGTGATCATTTGGGACAATGTACGCTTTCACAGAACAAACCAAATCAGAGAGTGGTTCACCACCAACAGTAACCACTTTTTAAACGTCTGTCTGCCACCCTACTCCCCTTTCCTGAACCCTATAGAGGAGTTCTTCTCATCGTGGAGATGGAAGGTTTATGACAGACAACCATACACTAGAGAGAACCTCCTAAGGGCAATGGAGCTGGCCTGTGTTGACATCCCAGTGGAGGCCTTCGAAGGATGGATTCGCCATTCCAGGGCGTTTTTCCCACGGTGCCTGGCAAGAGACAATATAGCCTGTGATGTGGCCCGATGCCGCACAGTGATTGTGGTGTGTGTGTGGTGTGAATAAAGTAAATAAAAAACTTCACACCCTGATCATGTTTTCAAGAGTACTGTTGTGTGCAATAGATTCTGTTTTTGCATTGAGTTGTGTTACAGTAGTGTACATGCAGAATTTATACTCTTCATATGAAACTCACAAATCTAAATGCCTAATCCTCTGCAGAGATCTAAGAAGATCCATTACTGTAAAGTTTCTAAAAATATGCATTGGCAGTTATGAAACAAAGAACCTTCTCACAAATCGAGCATTGTGTTTTCAATTGTTTTGCTGTAGTGTGTAATGATGTGTATAGTGTTTACATTTTTGAAAGCTTCGAGCTGCTCTTTTGGTGTGAAAGTTTGAGTTTTGAAGTGAGAAGGTGTGGTTGTGTTTATGTAGCTTTAGAAAAGGGTGTTGTGTTTAGACATTGGGGAACATGGAGGAAACGTTTGTGAAATGTGTTTTAGCATTTGAGAAAAACTGTATAAGACTGTAGCTTGTTCTCTGTGTAAAACTGACTGTTCATTGGAGCTCCAATAAGGCTTTCGCACACATTATTAAACCAAATGTACTTATAATGCAAGACATTAAGATATATCAACATATGGTGTGAGCTTAGAGATAATTACAAAATCATTTCAGAAATAGTATTTTTTTTCAGCACAACTGCCTTTAAGATAAATGTTTTAAATAAACTTTTAAATAGCTTTGTCACCGATATGGTGGTAAAGAGTGTAATATTCTAAGCATTTGAGATGGATGTTTCTTAAAGTGCTATTTTTTGCAAAGCGAGGATCACACAGGGACTGAATTTAGCATGTAAATCTCACTACAGATGTCAAAAATTTACACATCTTATACTGTCAAATATGATAGGAGAGTGACATCCTTAAATTATACCCTAGACACGGTAACGGCACACTAGCACGCATGTCTGCAGATGGTGAAAGGAAAAAAAGTTTGCTAATAGCGTGATGGAGGTTAGAGATTATGAGGAGTCAGATTATGTCAATGTCAAAACACAGGTCTGGATATACCAGTGCACTGCTTTAATGCAGACATATCTGTTTAGTCCATTGTAAGCCTCCACACACACTCACAAATATGAACACATGAACAAAGACATAGGCTACATGGTTTTACTATGATACCAGATACTCCTGAATGTCGGATAGGATCCTTCTGAATTTCCCCTCAGGGATCTGTAAAACACCTCGATCTGTGCATCTGAGAGTGATATGTGGCCACTGCGGGTAATGCTGTGTTTACGTAATTGTAGAAACGACTACTAAATGTCAACAAAGTAAATATTTTTAAAGAAATATTGTGGATTCATTTGAAAACACAAAGAAATTGTGGATTTGATAAAAATGCAGAATTTGACTTTGTTATGACTTTCTGTTCACCCATGTTACGTGACATTTATATATATATATATATATATATAGACATTTATATATATATATTATGACTGTCTTTATCAGTAGGCAATTTATATTTAATTTCATCTCATAATTTTCATGTTTCATGTTTACCTCTTGTATAAGGAAAAATATAGCGACAAAGTTTTTTTACACAAAATATTCTTTACAAAAAAGTTGTTCTTGACACAAAAAATTATTCTTATAATGTGTGGGGGGCATAAATATTAAATATTAAATAAAATGAAAGCATTTTTTGCTCTGACTTTCAACTTTTCAATTTAAATGTGACAATTTTATGTGACATCACAAAGTATGTTTTGAAATAGAAACATAATGGGTTTTATTATTTATTTTAAAGCACACAGAAACAGAACCATAGAACCAAATGGAGACTTTGGTTTAAATCTGTTGTTTTTCAAATTATTATTCTGACAATAGAGTCCAAAAATTTCACGTTTCTTCTCTAGAGTTTTAAAGAAGAATTTATCCTTATTAATTAGAATCAATATTTATCTCAAACGGTCAAAAAGCCAAAAATCAGAGATGTCAATATGAACTATTATCCGATAGTTGATTCAATGGTTGATCCGATTGAACAAATGATCCGATTTACTTTACTGAAAGTCAACAATTAACATTGTTTATTAGACAAAAATTACAAAAAGGGGGACTTCAGAGCGATAATACTGTATTTTCACCAGGTAAGAATTTGTCTTCTTTTTCTTCTCAAATCACATCTAATGAACCTGTTAGCGTAACAAAAAAAGATTATTTCAAAGCCATTACAGTTAGATACAGTAACCTTCACTGAAAACAATACTATTTAGCACCAAAATCTGCCTGCCAAAACAGTACAGTCTTCATGTGGAACCGGTTTGCAAACATACTTCCACTTTGTGGAAAGATTAAATAATATTTGTGAGGTGTTTATGGATCATGTAAACAACTACACCTTGTGATATTCCAGCCTCTTTCTCATTCTCCCCTCTCTCTCTCGCTCACTCTCTCTCTCTCTCTCTCTCTCTCATGCTCCCTCACTGCCTCTGTCAGATTGACATATTGGGTTAATAAGTGCCTCTCCCTAGCCTGAGCA